TGGTGGGCCCCCAGAGCCGGTCTGGACGCAGAGGCTAGAGGAAAAATCCTCTGCCCCCGTCGGGGATCGAACCCCAGTCATCCAGCCCGTAGCTAGTCTCTATACTGACTGAGCTATCCCGGCTCATTCATAAACACTGTGTGCTTTAGAAATATTTAAAAGTTCATCCTGTATGTTTCTGTAAATTTGCTTCTTAATTATTCAGTGAAGTACAGTGTTCATATGATAGTTAATTATGCCTAGTTTAGTGGTTTTACATGTTTTGTTCTAGCATTGAAGAAGAAAGTTCATTGTCTACTTGCACTGAAGTGCTGAAGGCAAGCAATAGCGACGTGTTTCAACATACAGCTGAACTCACAGCTCACTTTGTCAAGCTCAGCACTTACGTTAAGCTGCTGGCTGCACAAAGTAAGTGTTGATAGATATTAATTTTGGGGTGAATTAGAGCTTTGCTGGGACATTCTGTCTCTATGCATTTAATAACCAGTGTGCTGTGCCATAATTTTTTTTTTAAGAAATTCCATGTTGTAGTTAGAAAAAGGCAATATCTAATTTTTCATAATTAGAATTTATAAGTCAGGAAGTTAGTCAATTCTCCAACGTATGTCGCTTGGGGACAAGCTGAAAATGCAGATGCTTTTGGGTAGTAAGGCCAGGACTAACAATTGTTTATATAGGAAATTTTTAAAGCATTTAAGTCAGGAAAGTGTTACAGAATATCTATAAATATAGTATCCTTGTTCAGGTAAGCGTGCTTGTCAGCATCCACCTTCTTCACAGAGGAGGTTCCTATTAGAATTAACTGAAGCCCTGAAGGCTCTACACGTATCTATGAAAGGTATGTTTATTCACTCTGTATGATCTCCTGTAGACAGATAACGTCCTCGTACCTACCTTAAACACATCGGGGTTGCTGGATTGGGTGGGAGGATCACAGTTCCTTTCTACCACCTTCACCCTTGGTTCTTTTCTGTGGGGTTATATCAAAAATAAAGTTTTTGTTCTGGCAGTACCAAAAACTTTGGACACTTGAAAGGAAAGCATAAGTAGTGCTATTGGAAGAGATCATAATTATATGCTACAAAATGTCTGGTAGGATACAAGGAAAAAATTCTTTAGTTCTTCATTTTTCCTATGGTCTGATTTTCAACTTATCCTTGTTAATTGCTTCATAATCAGTATATCAAATCTAAAACTTCTTGACGATGGTGAAGAGTCAATTGAATAAAAATTTACTTGGATATTATCCATCGTCTAGGAAATATAAAACGTAAAAACGTAAAACGACGTTTCGGAGATGGGACTCTATCTCCGTCTTCAGGTTCCTACACAGTTGGGCCCACTAGATAGAGCTAATCCCTAAATCAGTGTTTGAAATCACACAGATAATTTTTAGTGACTATGTATAAATTTATTTCCTTTCATTGTTTTTGTGGCTTCTCTTGCTTTGTAATTAATACAGTATCTCATTTTCTAAATTACTCAATCTCCACATATTAATTTCTATTATACACATATTCCGTCATACTTAATCTGTTGGTTTTTTTGTGTATGAAAGAGGAATAGAGACTGGTGAAGAGCACGGGAAGGTAGGTGGGGGCAGGGCTACAATGGTGTGTATGGAAATAAAGGAAACAACAACAACAGCTATTTGTAATGACAGGGCCTTTTATAGTTTTAACTAAAGAACTGAGAATAACAGTTACACTATAATAATCAAATTGTAAATGTTGATACTGATTCTTGACTGTCAGTGGGGCTAATTACATGGGCAATATTTATCCAGACCACTCACTTTTTCAAGACTTTTATTAAGAATTACAAAACATGTGTCTTTTTTCATCCATCCTTGAATATAATTTGTTCCTTACGCTTATTTTCAAGAGAATGTATGATAAAATGGTACTGACTGATTTCATAAATGGTTGCAGATTTATCTCGAGCATACAGTCAGAAGAGTAACTTAGAGCATGAAATGCCGACATCTACTGATCGACTAAGAGCAACAGATGAGTGCTTAGTAAAATCTCTAGGAGCTATGGTATCAGCTACAGGCAAGGTTAGAATAACAATCTTGGAAAGTGTATTCCATACCAGGATACACGTAATATCCTTATGCATTCTATGCAATGTGCATTTAGAGGTATTAAATCTGTCTTGTTTGATAGTTCCAACTGTGACCACCACATCACAGCACCTCAATTCTACCTCCTCATCCGTCATTTGTTATCACCGCTTGTGGGCTATTCGAAAGTAAAGTTTGAGGTCATGCAGAATAGTAAAACCTCCACATTAAATTTCATCCAAATTTGTCCAGTGATTTTTGAGTTGAATTAACTGGACAGATGGACATGACCAGCGGATACTGCATTCTCACCATTCACTTTGTGCAAAGAATGCATAAGTATTTTAAATGTTAATGCTGGTCTTCTGTGTTGTAATACTATGTGGATTTGTAGGTAGATACCAACATTTCAAAGAAACATATGGAATTACAACCCAGAAGAGCAGCGTTGACATCTCCTCTGCTATAAGAACGTCAAAGCTCATATAATTTGTCAATGTTGACAGCATAATATTATTCTGGCAGCACCAGAGGTGTCCCACTTTTAATGTAGAATGGATTTTGTGTCATATGATAGGAAAAATATATAATGTTTGTTGAACTTGGAAGGACTGGAAAGAAAGTAGTTTCGGCTTATTTAATGATGCAATCCCAGCATTTGCATGGAAGAGATGAGAAAAAACCCTCAGTCATGACAGAGATGTGAATTGAGTTCCTCCCAAATAGAAGTCAGAGATATTATCACTTGAGCTAGATTGTTCAGTGCTGTTACGTCTAATACAGTGTTACATTTGAGTGTCTGCCATTTCAATTTCTGTCTTTGCATTTCTCTTGCTGTTTCCCCAAGAAAGTGTATTTTAGCAGTTACAGGATTTCTGAAGTTTACGCTGGTTAAGTAGGGAAACGTTCTTAAATCCCTGTAGTTCAAATGTACACATAGCCAGTGTAAAAATTTTGCAAGTGATTGCTACAGAAATTGTTTCTTTAGGTTATTTCACACACAAATATGTTTCCTGAACATATTGCAATAACTATTTTACTGGATTAAGGTGATAAATACATGTGAACTTCAGAATTTTTCTCCATATTATCTGCTGGAAATTCTTTGTTACATGTTGAAATTAAATCTGTGGCGTAACAGCTCCAGAGAGCCAAAGCCGACTAGCTTGACTGCTGGCCTCACGTTCACATGCCTAAGCAGAGGTGAACGATCATCCAACCAGATATAGGGTGACGTGTGTTCAGCACGACGAACACCCAGCCATTGCTAGTTTCCATGACCGGATTACGCTACTCATTGTAGCTCACCAATTTCCTCACGATGCTGGGTTGGCACCGGTCCCATACACTGGTCGAAAGCTCATGAGAAAATTTCTTCTCCCCCGAGACTCGAACCAGCGCGCATTCCGTATCGCCGGTCCGAAGCATGATGCCTCAGACCGTGCGGCTACGGCGCGGGACCTTTGTTACATGTACTGAACAAAAATTCATAGTCTGTGTTTGGTTTCAGTATCAGTCAGTCTGTACTTGACAAGTGCAGTAAATTTACTCTGTGTTACTTAAGTATCAAAATGAGCGCAAGTGGAAAAGTTTCAGCAGTTTTAAGAATATGTTTCATGACATTTTGTATTAATAAGGTAATATAAAATAAATAAATGGTAGTAAATAAAGGGATTTTTAAGTTTATAATTAAGTTCAAATTGAAGTTGGTAATATGAAATCTGTGGCTGTTCTCTGTAGAGGTTTTTAAGTGTTTCACTGTTTCAGTTGGCTACTGTGTTATCTGACAGTCGAGCAGAGTTATGCAGAATGACAGGTGCAGTAGTTGTTTCAGTAGTGTCAAGTACTGGAACCATGCATCCTGTTGTCTCAGGATTTAAGAAGAGAGCAGCACTGTATGTCAGTTCTCTCGATCAGGTAACTTGTAATTGTGGATTTGGATCAGGTGAAATATCAGTTCAATTTTAGTTTTGGTCTTTTCGGTTGTGACACTGTGTGCTTTTACATGTGAAGGCAATATTTTCCTCAAAAACATCGGTAATAACATATAAGACCATACTGCGTCACAACCATAAAGACCACGATCAACATCTTCACTTCTGTGAGAATCTCAGATCTCTTTTCTATTTAATATGATTCTGTCTGCATGAATATTTGTGACTAAATTTAATTTTGGTGTGTATTAGTTCACTGTAGCCATGATGTACTGAACAAAAATTCATAGTCTGTGTTTGGTTTCAGTATCAGTCAGTCTGTACTTGACAAGTGCAGTAAATTTACTCTGTGTTACTTAAGTATCAAAATGAGCGCAAGTGGAAAAGTTTCAGCAGTTTTAAGAATATGTTTCATGACATTTTGTATTAATAAGGTAATATAAAATAAATAAATGGTAGTAAATAAAGGGATTTTTAAGTTTATAATTAAGTTCAAATTGAAGTTGGTAATATGAAATCTGTGGCTGTTCTCTGTAGAGGTTTTTAAGTGTTTCACTGTTTCAGTTGGCTACTGTGTTATCTGACAGTCGAGCAGAGTTATGCAGAATGACAGGTGCAGTAGTTGTTTCAGTAGTGTCAAGTACTGGAACCATGCATCCTGTTGTCTCAGGATTTAAGAAGAGAGCAGCACTGTATGTCAGTTCTCTCGATCAGGTAACTTGTAATTGTGGATTTGGATCAGGTGAAATATCAGTTCAATTTTAGTTTTGGTCTTTTCGGTTGTGACACTGTGTGCTTTTACATGTGAAGGCAATATTTTCCTCAAAAACATCGGTAATAACATATAAGACCATACTGCGTCACAACCATAAAGACCACGATCAACATCTTCACTTCTGTGAGAATCTCAGATCTCTTTTCTATTTAATATGATTCTGTCTGCATGAATATTTGTGACTAAATTTAATTTTGGTGTGTATTAGTTCACTGTAGCCATGGTGGTCTAGCGGTTAGAACGCTGGCCTTGTAATCCTGGGGGTCTCGGGTTCGATTCCCGGCGGTGCCCGAATTTATAACTTGTGTTGGGCAAGGCCGTGGTCTAGGCAACGCGGAGTTTTCCTCCGTGGCATCCCAACAATTACTCCATTCACACACAGAAGAAGGCAATGGCAAACCACTTCTGGATCATCTGCCAAGAACGTATATGAACAGGTCCCAGTCCGAGAAAAGGATCGAAGGATCCTGTTCATATGGACCTGTCGTCAGACAGAACACTAAATAATATATAATTAGTTCACTATGACCTGTACTTCACACAAAGTAACCTATGTGAAATTGCTTAATGAAGAGGTGGGACCAGATTTATTCTTTATATATTTGTTGTAGGAGGAGTCTCCATCTGTTCCATATGAAGATGCCTTGCAAGAACATGAAGAGGTGAAGATCAATGCATTGAGTTGTGATTCACTGAATGAGCAGCTGACAAGCTGCAGGCAACGAGCTACAAAGCTGGAGCAGGATAAGGAGCACTGGCGACTGGAGTATCAACTACTGCAGCTTCTTCATTGCAAAGTGAGTGCGAAACTGTGTTATGTGATGAAAACTGACAACAGTGTACTGTTACAGGCTGTATTATGTAACATGGCATTCCTTTTGTTTGCTAGAAAGTGAAGGATTTGGAAGGACAGATACAGTCACTCAGTGGAAGCACCACGCCTCATAGTGACGATTCACAAGCCGATAAACCACCACCTATGGATCCTGCAACTGTAACCAACCTTGTAAGTTTATGCGGATTAACAGTTAAGCTCATGATCAGAATTTTCAGCGGTACGAAGAGTGAGAGTTATAGTTTGGAGAGAACCATTTGAATCTTTGATGTCCCGACAAGCTTTTCATGAGTTTCCAGAGTCCCTCATTATCTCCCCAAGTATCTCAAAATAGGCCACAGCTGCTTCCACTCACATTTATCATGATTCACATGTGGTGGTCATACCATCTCATTCAGTGCTTTACAACCCCAGCACCTGATACAGGATAATAAAATAAGTGAATAACTCGTATCTCTGCAGCAAAATAATTTCCGGACAAAGATTTTTTATATGTAAGACTTGAGGTTCTCACAGCGGTGAGTATGACGATTTCCGTCTTCTGGGTTGTTGCGCTGTGTAGTCTGGTTGATGTTAACCATCATTTCAGAGGTCATACTGCCTCCGTCATCAGGGTGATGAATATGCCAATAGGGTGAGAGTGGGAGATGGAGAGAAAGTAGAGAGAGAAAGGTTGAGTTTGGTTGGATGGATCAGGGCCCTGAAAAGGGGGGCCATGTTAGTGGTCTGGTTGGTTCTGGCGGCGCACTCTTGCTCGCTCTCGGAGTCCTCGAAGTGTGTGAATAAGAGGCTTCCAGGACCGGCTCAGGTGAAGTCCATCTTCCCTGTTAAAGTTATCGGGATGTAGTTCGATTTTGATGGCTTCCCCTATTATCCGATCCATGTAGCCGGTTTTTCAGGAGAGGATAGAAGATTTTTTACTTAGTTTTGCATTTGGCAGCCCTGTGTTATGTCTGGACAAAATGCACGTTGTTAAGATATGTTATAGAAAGAGGAATTGGTGTTTTGTACCGATGATGAACTTGTGGAGTATTTTGCACACTTGTAGCTCGGTCGGCTGGAGACTCCACTTGGGTTCGCGGCCGAAGCAGAGGCTCGTGAACTGGAAGTGAAGAATTACTTGACAGGTCGCATTAACCAGTTGGTGGCAGCATGTCAGAGTGCTGAAACCAGAGGTGGTACTCTTGCTGCAGAGGTCAGTACTAACTTGAATTATATACTTTGCACATATATTTCAGCGTTCTGCTTGAGTACTGTCTGCTTCACTGTTTAAATCGAGTGATAAACTTCTGCAATAATAAAATTAATAGTTACACCTAAGGAAGAGGACGTGACAGAAGAATGGAAAAAATTTAGAAGCTACTTAATTTGTACTGTTCATCAGTGTTAGGGTGATCCAGTCAGTAGGATGATGTGGGTTCGACATGTATCATATGGGAGATATGATAAATACAATGTTTTGGTTTGGCAAACTTTAAGGAAAAATGAACGTGGCCACATGGAATACCTCTGAATATCTAAACTAACTAACTAACTAGATGGCTTACCGAACCCGAAGGTTCATCACCGAATTAACCAAAGCCCTCCACCGGACCCTGTCCTGGGCCAACAAAATCCAGTTTCCTTCAACTCCTATCTCCCATAGATCCCACCTGAGATTATCCTCCCATCTACGTCTAGGTCTCCCCAGAGGTCTCTTCCCCTCAGGCTTCCCAAATAGTGGACCCAACCAACCAGATGGCTTACGGAACCCGAAGGTTCATCACCGAAATAACCAAAGCCCTCCACCGGACCTTGTCCTGTTCCAACAAAATCCAGTCTCCTTCAACTCCTTACCTTCGAGAAGGACCTCTGAATATCAGAGAAATAATGTGTGAAGCATGGAAATAGATTGAAATGGCTCATGGTAGTGTCCAACGAGCATATTAATGAACCTCAGTGTTCCTTTGAAGCAGGATTTTTAAGCAGTTGAGCTACTGTAACATTTTCAAGGAGGAATCAGGAAGTTAATATTGATTCTAAACCATCCGTTAAAAGAAGTAGTTGTGCACAGTACAATTTTATCACATCATACCGATTATATGTTGGCCTTATTCTCATCTGAATGAGTAAAAACTGCACGCTGACTAATTCTTTAGTCGACACGAGGTTTTCACATCAGAGAACGCTCGGTTTATTTCCATATTTCATATTTATAACAAATTGTCTGCCAAGCTGTAAATGTTTTTTGACAGTTCTTTTATTCTTTTACGCTTCTAGTGCCAGGCATTACAAAATCGACTGGAATTATGCCTTCAAAATAAATTACAGGCAGAAACTAGTCTACAGCAAATGCAAGATCTTGGTACAAAGTTGCAGGAAGACCTGCAAATTACCACACAAAACTATGAGATGCAGCTGAGTATAATGTCAGAGCATCTAGCCAACATGAATGATAAGCTGACGGTTCAGCGGGATGAAATTGATCAACTGAAATACCAGCTGACTAATAAAGTAAGTACTTTGTATCCGTCATCAGCTAAATTCAAATTCTCTTAATGGGTGAGATATTTCGTAGAGTTATAAAATACTTTTACTACCTTCATCTGGGAAGACTGGTAGCTATTCTTTGTCTTGGTCATACCAACACACGTCTTTTAATATTTGAAACAGACTTGAATATTCAGCTCAACTGGTCATAAACTCAGGTTCTGTTGGAGTGAAGTTAAGTTGGTCATCCCAATTTCAAATTAATTCCGTATTCTGAATGAGTGAATAATTTAGTTGATGAGCCATTAGAGATGTCGATATCCATTTTTATGCATCCTATTGTGGTTGTTTTCAAGTGTATAGGAAGCAGAAACAGAATCTGTATTTCAGAGAGACTGGCATGTCTCATGTGTTGCCATTGAGTACTAATTTGAAAATATTTCTGCTTCATGCATTATTCCTTTTGGTCAAGCAATGTGGATTTTTCATCTTTGCTTAATGTATCTCAAAAGCAGATCCATGGCTATAAAAATATGGAATTTGATAAAATGCCAGTATGGCAGTAGTGGTAACAAGAAGTAAGTTAGTGCTTTTGAAATATTTTCGTATTGACATAATCGATATTATATTCTGTGGACATGTGAGTTAGGGATACCCCACATTTTCCAGAAGTCCATTTTCACATATCATTCACATTTTCTGTGCACTTTTCTTAATTTGAAAATATCATATTATAAATTGAAATGAAATTAAAGAAATTTAGTATATTCATACTTTTCTAGAACAGTGTTTTTGCATTTTGTTTGTGTCGTGGACTGACATTACCGACACTTCATTGAGAATTTATCTGATTCAAGCGCGTTTTATTTCAGTCTAGTCGGAAGGGTAGACAGAAATAGAGAAGTTGAAGACAAACCAAAAGGAGTGTATGTGACATGCCCGTGAGAACAACTCAGGTAAAACAGTGGCTGCAGACATTCCAAGAGTGGTGAATGTGTGTCTTGAATGTAAGTCTTGCTCTTGTAGAACGTGCGTTTACATTACCAGCGAGAACTGTAATAATACAGAAAACTGACATTGGCCCATATTGAACAGTTGTAAATAATTTATCCAACAATTCTAAAAAAAAAATTTGGTCATTTAATCACATACAACTTTCTGTAGCATGAGCGTAGTTTAGGATTGGTTTGAACAGCATTTGAAAAAATTTGAAGAGGCCTACAAATTGATAAAAGCTTTGAAAAGGTAGCAACTTATTGTAAATAGAAAAGCACAAAAGTGTTGTAAAACGAAATCATGCTGTTATGCTGAAGTATCCGTTAAATGAACCAAGAAGACAAATTAAGACATACAAAATACTTCAAAGAATAAAAAGCCAGGTATATATACAGCACTGTGATATATTTAACCTTCCTTATGAACATGTTCATTTTAAATTCGTAGTATCCACCTTAGAATGCAATGCATTTATGATGTAATGTTCAAAACTGTTCTTTGTTAATCTCTTTAATTTCACCTCGCAGCCTTAATGTCCATCTCATTCAGTAGGAAATGTCTGCTTCTGAGCTAGTTCTTCGTTTCTGGAAAATATAAATGTTCTCTCTTCTCCATTCAATAAAAGCTCTGTTTGCTTGAACTGTGTTATGTGAATTGTGAAGCTCGCCTACCACGGCATTTGGTCACCTTTGTATGTGTCGGGGGAAGCTGATAGATTCACCAGTTGAATAGAGGTGCCAGTTTGTGCTTTTGTGCATATGTCGGAGTGAAAAAAAGCGACAGAGAATATGCCTCTTTAACAATACAAGGTCATGCAGCTTTCATCATGCTATACCTCAGCCAAGCTCAACACTGCAAATATTCTTTTCCTTTATGTGAGATTCTTGTGGTGATGGTAAATTAGTCTGGTTGTTTTTAAAACATTACTTTTAGTATTGTAACAGCTGATTAAGAGCCGGGTAGCTCAGTCAGTATAGTGACTGGCTATGGACTGGACGACCGGGGTTTGATCCCGATGGGGGGCAAAGAATTTTTCCTGTAGCCTCTGTGTCGAGACCAGTTCTGGAGCCCACCCAGCCTCCTATCCAATGGGTACAGGGGTCCTTTCCTGTACGTAGAGTACGGTCAGGGCATCATGCCAACCGTTCACCCCATCTAGTGCCGAGGTCAAGAATGAATAGGAGCTATACCACCTCTCACCCCAAGCGCCTACATGGCGTATACTGGGACAGCTTTACTTTACTTGCCCAGTAATCATCTTTAGTATTTTTCACATGTGAAATATCACTTCTCCACCGATGCTTGCCATATTGGCTTCTTTTCTTATTTTATATATAGTTCTTTTGATTTTCCTGTTGGTGCACTGGCATGTTTTATGTTAAAATTTTCACTTCATTATTCTTGATTGAAAAACTATATAACTTTATTTATAATGGCACAGCCATCATTATCAATAATAAGTCTGGATTTAGTTTTTGAATTTGAAGACAACTGTCAGGATAGGATAAAGATACGCTGTATAAAGAATGCATTTTGAGAAAGACTGCTGCATGCACTGTACAAGCCCACCACGTGAATCTGTTCCTTCCTCCACCATGACACTTTAATTAGTTAACATACTATCTGCTTTCAGAGTTAATACAGTCAGGTGGCCGCTTACTTATTCTTCCTCAGATCTTATTTGGTAAACATAATTGAGGAGCTCAGGATATCAATTCTGGAGTATTTTGGAAGCACTGAGGAGCAGGAGGGGCGGAGTGCTGAGGCATGACAAAACAATTTAAAGCTAAATAATGGAAATTATATTTTTTTTTAAAATTTTATATGGTTATACAGATTAATAAATACAGCATTATTTATTCTATGCAATACAACAACAAAAATCATTTCATAATATATACAATACAAATAAATAATTAAACAGTCCAATGATTTCTACTTAGTCTATTTTAATAGAAAAAGAAGCGCCACAGGAACAACCCTGTTCTGCAAGAGGGTTGTTGACTATACGGAAGGTTGATCTTATCAGCTCCTGATGGTATTCAATTGTTGAACCGCGAACATATTCTAGTGATGTCTCATCTATTACAACTTTTACACCATTTGCGTTGAAGACTCTGTGTAAAGAATATCAGATAGTAAGTGAAAGAAATGTGTATGAATATTAGGTGTTCTCTAAGTTGCCAGCAAATGTTGGCTTCATGCTAAGGAATAATGTTTTTAGTGAGATTTCATGTTCCCATGGTGATAAATATGAAGATGAATGTCATCTGAGATGTTACACTGTGTTGTCTGGTATAAATTTACTGATGTTTGAGATGTTCTTGCTGCCTCCATCCTCAGGGTCATTATGACCCTGATGATGGAGGTACCAAGCACCTCTGAAATTTTTGTAAACTTCTACCACGCTGCATGACAGAACATCCCAGAAGACAGTCATCTTCAGTAACGTTCTTGTTTGAGAATGTCGTAAGATACAAAGTTAATTTGACCCCTTGAGTGCCAAAGTAAGCAACAAACATATGCCTGGAAAGTGCCAAGTGATTTTACCAGAAAATGCAGGGAGGCACAGAAATAGTAATAAATACGAAACTTACAGACAGAGTACTGGAATTTTTACAGGAACTGATCAACTATCTATTTTCACAATAACAGATGTGTAATAAAAATTCTTGTTGGAGGAAAAAACTATGAAAAAATTAAGTCAACATGGTTCTCAGGAATTAAAAAACTTCTGAGAATTCACTAAAAATGTTACTGCAAACCTAAGTATGTAGCTGACTTAATATTTTCCAAACTAAGTACATCACTTAATGGTTGTTTTCAAGTGTATAGGAAGCAGAAACAGAATCTGTATTTCAGAGAGACTGGCATGTCTCATGTGTTGCCATTGAGTACTAATTTGAAAATATTTCTGCTTCATGCATTATTCCTTTTGGTCAAGCAATGTGGATTTTTCATCTTTGCTTAATGTATCTCAAAAGCAGATCCATGGCTATAAAAATATGGAATTTGATAAAATGCCAGTATGGCAGTAGTGGTAACAAGAAGTAAGTTAGTGCTTTTGAAATATTTTCGTATTGACATAATCGATATTATATTCTGTGGACATGTGAGTTAGGGATACCCCACATTTTCCAGAAGTCCATTTTCACATATCATTCACATTTTCTGTGCACTTTTCTTAATTTGAAAATATCATATTATAAATTGAAATGAAATTAAAGAAATTTAGTATATTCATACTTTTCTAGAACAGTGTTTTTGCATTTTGTTTGTGTCGTGGACTGACATTACCGACACTTCATTGAGAATTTATCTGATTCAAGCGCGTTTTATTTCAGTCTAGTCGGAAGGGTAGACAGAAATAGAGAAGTTGAAGACAAACCAAAAGGAGTGTATGTGACATGCCCGTGAGAACAACTCAGGTAAAACAGTGGCTGCAGACATTCCAAGAGTGGTGAATGTGTGTCTTGAATGTAAGTCTTGCTCTTGTAGAACGTGCGTTTACATTACCAGCGAGAACTGTAATAATACAGAAAACTGACATTGGCCCATATTGAACAGTTGTAAATAATTTATCCAACAATTCTAAAAAAAAAATTTGGTCATTTAATCACATACAACTTTCTGTAGCATGAGCGTAGTTTAGGATTGGTTTGAACAGCATTTGAAAAAATTTGAAGAGGCCTACAAATTGATAAAAGCTTTGAAAAGGTAGCAACTTATTGTAAATAGAAAAGCACAAAAGTGTTGTAAAACGAAATCATGCTGTTATGCTGAAGTATCCGTTAAATGAACCAAGAAGACAAATTAAGACATACAAAATACTTCAAAGAATAAAAAGCCAGGTATATATACAGCACTGTGATATATTTAACCTTCCTTATGAACATGTTCATTTTAAATTCGTAGTATCCACCTTAGAATGCAATGCATTTATGATGTAATGTTCAAAACTGTTCTTTGTTAATCTCTTTAATTTCACCTCGCAGCCTTAATGTCCATCTCATTCAGTAGGAAATGTCTGCTTCTGAGCTAGTTCTTCGTTTCTGGAAAATATAAATGTTCTCTCTTCTCCATTCAATAAAAGCTCTGTTTGCTTGAACTGTGTTATGTGAATTGTGAAGCTCGCCTACCACGGCATTTGGTCACCTTTGTATGTGTCGGGGGAAGCTGATAGATTCACCAGTTGAATAGAGGTGCCAGTTTGTGCTTTTGTGCATATGTCGGAGTGAAAAAAAGCGACAGAGAATATGCCTCTTTAACAATACAAGGTCATGCAGCTTTCATCATGCTATACCTCAGCCAAGCTCAACACTGCAAATATTCTTTTCCTTTATGTGAGATTCTTGTGGTGATGGTAAATTAGTCTGGTTGTTTTTAAAACATTACTTTTAGTATTGTAACAGCTGATTAAGAGCCGGGTAGCTCAGTCAGTATAGTGACTGGCTATGGACTGGACGACCGGGGTTTGATCCCGATGGGGGGCAAAGAATTTTTCCTGTAGCCTCTGTGTCGAGACCAGTTCTGGAGCCCACCCAGCCTCCTATCCAATGGGTACAGGGGTCCTTTCCTGTACGTAGAGTACGGTCAGGGCATCATGCCAACCGTTCACCCCATCTAGTGCCGAGGTCAAGAATGAATAGGAGCTATACCACCTCTCACCCCAAGCGCCTACATGGCGTATACTGGGACAGCTTTACTTTACTTGCCCAGTAATCATCTTTAGTATTTTTCACATGTGAAATATCACTTCTCCACCGATGCTTGCCATATTGGCTTCTTTTCTTATTTTATATATAGTTCTTTTGATTTTCCTGTTGGTGCACTGGCATGTTTTATGTTAAAATTTTCACTTCATTATTCTTGATTGAAAAACTATATAACTTTATTTATAATGGCACAGCCATCATTATCAATAATAAGTCTGGATTTAGTTTTTGAATTTGAAGACAACTGTCAGGATAGGATAAAGATACGCTGTATAAAGAATGCATTTTGAGAAAGACTGCTGCATGCACTGTACAAGCCCACCACGTGAATCTGTTCCTTCCTCCACCATGACACTTTAATTAGTTAACATACTATCTGCTTTCAGAGTTAATACAGTCAGGTGGCCGCTTACTTATTCTTCCTCAGATCTTATTTGGTAAACATAATTGAGGAGCTCAGGATATCAATTCTGGAGTATTTTGGAAGCACTGAGGAGCAGGAGGGGCGGAGTGCTGAGGCATGACAAAACAATTTAAAGCTAAATAATGGAAATTATATTTTTTTTTAAAATTTTATATGGTTATACAGATTAATAAATACAGCATTATTTATTCTATGCAATACAACAACAAAAATCATTTCATAATATATACAATACAAATAAATAATTAAACAGTCCAATGATTTCTACTTAGTCTATTTTAATAGAAAAAGAAGCGCCACAGGAACAACCCTGTTCTGCAAGAGGGTTGTTGACTATACGGAAGGTTGATCTTATCAGCTCCTGATGGTATTCAATTGTTGAACCGCGAACATATTCTAGTGATGTCTCATCTATTACAACTTTTACACCATTTGCGTTGAAGACTCTGTGTAAAGAATATCAGATAGTAAGTGAAAGAAATGTGTATGAATATTAGGTGTTCTCTAAGTTGCCAGCAAATGTTGGCTTCATGCTAAGGAATAATGTTTTTAGTGAGATTTCATGTTCCCATGGTGATAAATATGAAGATGAATGTCATCTGAGATGTTACACTGTGTTGTCTGGTATAAATTTACTGATGTTTGAGATGTTCTTGCTGCCTCCATCCTCAGGGTCATTATGACCCTGATGATGGAGGTACCAAGCACCTCTGAAATTTTTGTAAACTTCTACCACGCTGCATGACAGAACATCCCAGAAGACAGTCATCTTCAGTAACGTTCTTGTTTGAGAATGTCGTAAGATACAAAGTTAATTTGACCCCTTGAGTGCCAAAGTAAGCAACAAACATATGCCTGGAAAGTGCCAAGTGATTTTACCAGAAAATGCAGGGAGGCACAGAAATAGTAATAAATACGAAACTTACAGACAGAGTACTGGAATTTTTACAGGAACTGATCAACTATCTATTTTCACAATAACAGATGTGTAATAAAAATTCTTGTTGGAGGAAAAAACTATGAAAAAATTAAGTCAACATGGTTCTCAGGAATTAAAAAACTTCTGAGAATTCACTAAAAATGTTACTGCAAACCTAAGTATGTAGCTGACTTAATATTTTCCAAACTAAGTACATCACTTAATGCAAAACACATTCCAGTGAAAAATATAACAAGTAAATGTATGAACAAATGAGAAACATTGCTACTGAAACAGACTTTTCAGCCTCATTTCATTTGACACCACCAAAACAGTTGATGTGGACTCTTCTGTCATCTGTTACATCTCTGCAATCTTAAAACTGTTTAACCCACACAAAAGCCAATGTTCTATTCATTGTTCCTACTGCATAAATTTTAACAATTTCTAAATGTAAGTTGCATTTCTCTGCAGTTTTTGTAAAAAAAAAAATTATATTGATTTGTTGTAACAATTTATTACCCAGGTATTTAATGACTTATTCCAGTAACAAAGGTAATCCCAAGGAATGTGTGATATTAAACTGCAGAATCCTGTAGTCACATAATTCAACATATGCCAACTAACCAGCGTTGCCAGATGCTATACAGAAACATCAGTCTGGTTATATAATTATCTGCCCTTTTAAATTAAGAGCATACCTTTTATCCGACACAAGTTCCCTCTAACACTAAATAATAATCACATTCTGTATTGAAACATTCAGTCCTTGGCCATTTCATAATACATTATGTGAGTGAATAAATAACCGTTATATAAACTATATGCATTGCTTACATATCATCGTCTTTGATGCTCTTCTCCAGGTCAAACTTGTACTGGAATCCTGAACAACCGCCTCCTTCAACCATAACCCGTAAAAAGTTACCGTCAGTTGCAATTTCTTTCAAACGTTTTACGCAGCTGTCACTGATATGGAGTGCATCAGATGCAGCTCTATCTTTGGTATTTGGGGCTGTTGACATCAGCTGAGAATATGGAGTGGCACAGAGTCTGAAAACATTTTACATAATTTAGGGTAATGTGACGAGGCACAACATATTTAGGTAAAAACCTGCCATATCTTATAACCCAATTCTGTAATATAGTCTTGGCTAATTAACAAACTAATACTATGGAAGCAGAACTTGAAGATTCAGCACTACTAATATCAAAAAAAACCACAACTGGACATAAGACATCCAGTTCCATCAACTTCTCACAAATCTTAATGTTATCCTCCTAGATCATTCCAAATAAAATATAGCAGTTGACATAACCTCTTTGGAATTCCATGAAATTTTGTGAGCCTACAGAGTCTGATAAGTATACATTATTCCCTTCTTATGTTAATTTAAAAATTATTTCAGTTTGAAGTTTTCCTTAAATTTTCTATAATTCTGATTCACTCCAATGCTTATAATCAGGAATCAGTCCCAGTCATTTTATTAACACAACTTCCCCAGCTCATACTTCTTCAATCTAGTGGCCTCAATGTTTCCCACATGTACTATATGAAGATAAATAAGTTATTCAGATAATTCTTCAGGCTCTTAACTGCATTTATACTAACTGCATAGATGTATTACTTCCATTCAATCATGTCATGGAATCATTTTCTGGGGAAATTCAACGGACACCAAAAAAGTATTTTACGTTCAAAAGAGGATCATTAGAATAATGGCAGGCACTAAGAGGAGAGCCTCTTGTAGGGAATTATTTAAGAAGTTTAATATTATTCCATCACCCACTGAATTCTTGCTCTCAATATTATCATTTGTAATGGATAACATGGAAAAATTTCAAACAAATTCAGACATCCACAATATAAGAACAAGATACAGATACAACCTTTGTGTGCCAAATTCTAACCTCAGTAAATATCGAAAAGGAGTTTACTATACTGGAAGTTATTCAATAATCTTCCACCTGCTATCAAAAGTTAAACCAGAATATAAAAATGTTTATGCCAGGGTTAAAAGAGTATCTCCTATCTCACTCCTACTCAGTAGAAGAATTTATAAACACTTGTAACAATAATGTAAGATTTGAGGTTAATGATGATGGTTTCTCATCATAATAATTTTGCTGTAATACTGCAGTTCCAAAAATCTATAAATAGCTGTTATAATTATGTATTTATATAGAAACAAGTATTGTATTTGTGTTATGATCTGTTCTACATCCTTGGCTTAGGCCTATAAAGGATCTATGGAATGTAAATAAATTCTACTCTATTCTTATATGCCTGATAACAAAGGGGCTGGGTCCAGCTTGTGGGAGTTCCTTCAAATTAAAAACATCCAGAAGAAGCCAGATATGGATAATTTGCTTGTAATATTTAAGAACTTCTTTTTCCATGAGGGATTGCAAAGCTTATTGCTGTTCGTGAAAAAGGTTTCTGCCCTTATCTTAAAGTTACCCAGATGAGATGCTTTTTCAGTATCTTTTGAAAGCCCTTGGTGGAAATGAGCAACCACACAAGAAAATATGTGCATTGGAGTGAGAAAAGACATGAAAATTGGAATAAGGAAGCTTCTAGAAATATATCACAAATTAAATCCCGAACTGCCTATTAGTTATTCACTTCATGCTGTCATTCTTACTGAACAATCTTGGGTCCAAATTTTTTGTTCACCACCCTGTTTAATCTCATTTTAATTACTCTATATCTCAATCTGTCTTGAATGGGACGTTTCCTAACCAAAAGTGGTTTACTTGGTTCTCTCTGAGCCGCATGCGCAAGTCTACACAATTAGCATCTTTGTTTTCGTTACTTTAACAATACTGGCCAAAATACAAAAAACAGTTCATCATACCATTTTACAATCAGTAAATTATCACGATTATGTTCCGATACTGAATCACCAATTTTAGTTTGTGTATGACTTTGATTGCATAGCTAGATTCCAACTCCAAGGAGTTTCTAAAAATAACTGAATAATCTGAGGTATTATTTTTTTCGAAGACGGTCAAAATTTTGTAATTTCTGAAATTAAAATCGATCCAAAAGAAGCTAGTTTATGAAGGTATTCATAGATGTCGCGAATGCCGCATATTCTATAAGTTCCTACATGTCTCCAAGAATCACTGTAAACTAATAGCCTTGTATCGCAAATGAATACGTGGCACGTCTATGAATAGTACAACTGCAACAGAGACAATAATTATAAAACGTTCAGGCATGTGACTTACTTCAACAAGCACAAGTAATTTGTTTTAAATCCAAAATCTGTAGTTAAATTACGCACCACCAGTCTGCCAATTGTCGCCATGTTGGTTGTGACGTAACGAAAGGCATTGTGGGATAGCTAATTAGAGTGCAGTGAATTTTTATCAAAATCGACCTTCATGGCTGTCAAGAAAGCCTTGTTTTTGAAAGAAATTTCAACAGCTTCCCTATGCGGTTGACATATAATTTAGTTACGTGAGTGGGCTGCCGGATCTGCTGAAGAGTTTTGTTCGAGTTGTGGGTCAGACGACGCCAATGTTCACTGGAACCGTAAGGGTGAAAATATGCGAGGCTTGCGGGTTGAGACCTACGGATTTTCAAACGCGGCATAGTATGGCGTTTGGGAAACCTGATGACCAGCCTATAGATCCTTATGTGTCGATAGACGTGGATGAAAATCATTTATATCGTTCGTCAACAAAGGCCAAGACTTGCGATCCAGTATGGAACGAGTACTTCGTCCACGACGTCCAAAGCGCCGTCAACCTGGGGTTGACTGTTTTCCACGATGCCGCCATCCCGCCTGATGATTTTGTGGCCAACTGCAATATTCCGTTTGAAGATCTCGTTCACAGAGATCGGGATTCTGCTGACTTTTGGGTATGATTCTTTATTTGCCGTTGTTTTACAAGAGGCTTGATATGTACTTCTTTGCATGCTATACACATAGGTCTCTTAGGGTTCCCAGTTTTCACATCCCAAAACCTAGAAAGTATTTTATTTTCTGTTGGCACGCAAGTGACATGATTTTAGACCCTAACATGCATTTTAATTACCCATAGTTAACCAGGTAGAAGTAAGGTACTTGTTATGTACCCCAATGAAGGTATAGTTAATATTGTTGGCATATGACAGAAAGACTGTTGCACACACAAATATGCACAAGTACATTTTTTGTATTTGAATTATGCACATTCATTGTTAAAAGTATGAAACCACCTGTCACAGTACAAAATTGTATGTCAGGTTTGTGACCTTTACTTTCCTGTTGACATTCCATTTCATTTTTATACTGGAATTTACTTCAGTGATGACAGTCTAAATAAAGATGTCGTTATTGTCACTGATACTCCACATAGTCACAGGACATCAATTGTGTGATGTCAACATAAACATCAGAAACCAATATTTTCTGAAATAACCTTCCATAACTTTGATGAAAAATTGCATCAGATAAAGTAAAATAAACCAAACTATATCCAAACTTTATCTTACTCAAACTTTGACATTTCCAACTCAAGCTGTCACTAATGTCGTGCTGACCTATGAGTTTCACACCTTCCTTACAAAATGGGCTCTTGTACCATATCACTAGTTAGCTGCAGACAGCTTATTACATAAATTTTGCCAACATTTAACAACATGGAAGAATGGAGTAAAAATAGATTAATCATTGACTTTAAGCATAATTTCCACCTTCTGTCTAACATTAAGGACCAACGTTGGACCTGATTCTAAGTTTGAATAAAGTTGATAAAGGGTATAAAATGTATAATGAAATCTTCTCAGGCTACCAGCCATGTCAGGTAGTTTAATGAATAAAACACCCAATATTTTGAGAACCATCTTCGTCCTCGGTCTTGGGTGAGGGTGTGACCCTGAGGACGAGGACAGTTTTTAAACATAAGTATTTTCTTCATTAAAGGGCCTTACACGGCCGGTAGCACAAGAAGAATTCATTATACTTAGTCACCGTGGAAGCTTCAGATCAGGTATAAAATGAGTATACCTGTTAAGCATTTAATTTTCAAATGTATTTTTGAATTGACACATATTTTAGACATCTGTATTTCAGTAGCGTAGGTAATTGGATTAAAGTTATACATGCACCATTTGACATAACTATACTACTTATAATCTGCTTTGATTTGTTTATTTTTCACGTAAGTGTTGTGACTTTAAAGCTTTGGGTTTATTTGCTTGTGAGAAGCTACTGAAGTATCTTTTGTGTTTTGTTTAGTGGTATGGTTCATTTAACGTTGTTGTGAAATTGTAGTTGAATTGAAGTTGTATGACTAGTACTTGAAATCTACAAGCCATTGGATTGGTTGGAATTACAAAATTAACAGCAACTTATATATAGATTTAAGACAGGATTTAGTACATACTTACAAAGTCTGTTGCCCTTTTAACATAGGCTCTTTGTGTATTGTTGTAGCTGTGTGTAAATACTCTACAAAAAAGTTGACAGTGGAACCACGGTTCCGGAGAATCTGACGTAAATACATCTCTGTAATGTAATGAAATGTAATAATTCTTATATAAGATAAGTACTTTTGATATTCTAAAACGTTTTTACCAGCACAAAATTATCTAGTCTACAACGCACTTCTTCTACAAGCGATTCACATCTCAGCTTTTTCCGCAATAACGAAAGCGGATTGTTGAAGGCCGGGTAAACAGATGACGTAACAATTAGTTTCTTAGGTATCATAACCATTTTTGTCGGTCCATATGTCAGTCCATATTTACACGTTGTTGATATGGATCTTACACATCTTCGTTACGCTTTTTTGCCAAATGACCCTTCCGTATAGACGTATTTACGTCAAAAAGTTTTCAGTTGCTGTAATGGCCACTTCCATGTTGTCTGTTGCTGTGAAATTAGTGCCCTTGCAGGGCATTTTAAGATGGCCCAGAAAGATAACACAATGGAGCCACATTCTCCAACTTTGGATTCAGAAGTGCTTCAGTAATTACAGTGGCAATGTGAGATGAATATTGTTGTGGAGTAAATTCTTACCTTCTTGTCTAGTCATCCAGACTGTAGTCAGTGACTATACTGACTGAACTGCCCAGGCTCTCACATACTAAACGTGACGTTCTCTAAAATTGAAAGTGTTAAGTGCGTTGGTTGCCTTGTTAATACATAATTTTACTGTTGTATGCAGGAAATCTCAGGTTTGGGTTCTTAAAGCCAGCTGTCCTGACTTGATTTTTTCATGGTTTCTGTTTAAAACATACTTAATGCGATTGCACGCATATTAACCATTTGAAATCGTTTGCCGACAGACTGTATGCACTGAACAGACAAACAACAGTTATGCAGTTAATAAAATAGAAAGATGATGGAAATATGTTTTAGATAATGACTGTAAAATCTGTCGCAAAAGATATGAAATTCTTATTTTGTTACTTGGTGGGAATATCCTTTTTATATTCTTGAATGTCAGTGATACATGTATGAACTCATTTTAATTCTTCTGAGTCTCTGGTCACTTTTTATTCCTATAGTTTATTACTTTTTATCAAGTACTTTAGTAAATGAAAATGCTCTCCTCTTCATGTATTAGAACCTCTGGTCCATGTGTAGGTCACATGCATAGAATGCCAATTGCCCTGTTGGTAATCAAAGGTTTATAATTTGTTTGTAGAATAAGCAAATTTGTCTTTTATATGTAGGAACTTGGTTGACAGAGCGATTAGGAAATGTTTACCACTGTTGTGTCAGATCAGTGTTCCAGTCACAGGTTTTGCCAGTTTGATGTGTTGTCAGATTTCACCTCGTGCTTTACCATGCAATGCGTATTGACCTTACGTAACAGCGAGGTACGGAAAATCCAAATAACTGTTGATATCTTTAAGGGAAGTGGCTGGTATCCTGTCTTAATCATCATACGAAAGGATGTTTGGAAAGGATAGAAATGTATTTAAGACTACTTGCACTTTGCAGTTTTAGTGAGTACAATGCAGATCAATTTGTGCAATGCCTGTAAAATTTATGAGCAGATGGAACCTCCCCAAACTGTGTGCATTATGGTTTATCTAACGGGCTATGACAGAGAAGAAACACATGGTACATTGCTTCATTTGGTTGATGAAGCTTGAATTGGGAAGTTGAAAAAATTAATTTTAACTATGAATTTTGTCATATTAATCTACACTTTGCTTCGTGTGAGAAGTGCTGGATGTACTTTGGCTCTTCAACAGTTGCATCCACACCTAAAGGTAGATTTTGCTTTTCTATTTGAACTGTGGGGAAAATGATAATAATATGCGTACCAGTAGCTGTGGAATGGGTTGATAATGTTAGGCCAACTGAGCCATTTTCATTGAACATTATTTTTTGAGGTTAAGATTGCCAAAAGTTGTCAGTCATCAGAATTGGTACAAACTGGAGTTAATACATTATGTTCTGGGATTATTTTATTTATATTTCTATTTTGTACGAGGAATAATTACCAGAGCAGCAGAAGGAATCTATTACTGTATCGATTCAAAAAAAGGGAGATTAAAAGTGGCTGTAGCAATTATGCAATATCACTGTTAGCAACTGCGTACACAATTTTATCCAGCATTCCTCTGTCCCCCATATACAGATGAAATTATTCAGGATCATCTGTGTGAGTTTCAGTATACTTGATTGACTACTGATCAGATATTGTGCATCTGTCTGGTACAGTACATCAACTATTTTTGGCTTCAAGCAAACTTATGATTCAGTTAGTAGGTAGTATTATTCAACATTCATTGAATTCAGAAAACTCATACAACTGGTTGGTCTAATTAAAACATGTTTAAATTAAACACATAGTGAAGTCCGTGCAGGTAAACTTTTGTAAGACTTGAGGTTCTCACAGCGGTGAGTATGAAGATATCCGTCTTCTGGGTTATTGCGCTGTGTAGTCTGGTCGATGTTAACCAACGTTTCAGAGGTCATACTGCCTCCGTCATCAGGGCGATGAATAAAGACAACTGTCAGGATAGGATAAAGATACGCTGTATAAAGAATGCATTTTGAGAAAGACTGCTGCATGCACTGTACAAGCCCACCACGTGAATCTGTTCCTTCCTCCACCATGACACTTTAATTAGTTAACATACTATCTGCTTTCAGAGTTAATACAGTCAGGTGGCCGCTTACTTATTCTTCCTCAGATCTTATTTGGTAAACATAATTGAGGAGCTCAGGATATCAATTCTGGAGTATTTTGGAAGCACTGAGGAGCAGGAGGGGCGGAGTGCTGAGGCATGACAAAACAATTTAAAGCTAAATAATGGAAATTATATTTTTTTTTAAAATTTTATATGGTTATACAGATTAATAAATACAGCATTATTTATTCTATGCAATACAACAACAAAAATCATTTCATAATATATACAATACAAATAAATAATTAAACAGTCCAATGATTTCTACTTAGTCTATTTTAATAGAAAAAGAAGCGCCACAGGAACAACCCTGTTCTGCAAGAGGGTTGTTGACTATACGGAAGGTTGATCTTATCAGCTCCTGATGGTATTCAATTGTTGAACCGCGAACATATTCTAGTGATGTCTCATCTATTACAACTTTTACACCATTTGCGTTGAAGACTCTGTGTAAAGAATATCAGATAGTAAGTGAAAGAAATGTGTATGAATATTAGGTGTTCTCTAAGTTGCCAGCAAATGTTGGCTTCATGCTAAGGAATAATGTTTTTAGTGAGATTTCATGTTCCCATGGTGATAAATATGAAGATGAATGTCATCTGAGATGTTACACTGTGTTGTCTGGTATAAATTTACTGATGTTTGAGATGTTCTTGCTGCCTCCATCCTCAGGGTCATTATGACCCTGATGATGGAGGTACCAAGCACCTCTGAAATTTTTGTAAACTTCTACCACGCTGCATGACAGAACATCCCAGAAGACAGTCATCTTCAGTAACGTTCTTGTTTGAGAATGTCGTAAGATACAAAGTTAATTTGACCCCTTGAGTGCCAAAGTAAGCAACAAACATATGCCTGGAAAGTGCCAAGTGATTTTACCAGAAAATGCAGGGAGGCACAGAAATAGTAATAAATACGAAACTTACAGACAGAGTACTGGAATTTTTACAGGAACTGATCAACTATCTATTTTCACAATAACAGATGTGTAATAAAAATTCTTGTTGGAGGAAAAAACTATGAAAAAATTATGTCAACATGGTTCTCAGGAATTAAAAAACTTCTGAGAATTCACTAAAAATGTTACTGCAAACCTAAGTATGTAGCTGACTTAATATTTTCCAAACTAAGTACATCACTTAATGTAAAACACATTCCAGTGAAAAATATAACAAGTAAATGAGAAACATTGCTACTGAAACAGACTTTTCAGCCTCATTTCATTTGACACCACCAAAACAGTTGATGTGGACTCTTCTGTCATCTGTTACATCTCTGCAATCTTAAAACTGTTTAACCCACACAAAAGCCAATGTTCTATTCATTGTTCCTACTGCATAAATTTTAACAATTTCTAAATGTAAGTTGCATTTCTCTGCAGTTTTTGTAAAAAAAAATATATATTGATTTGTTGTAACAATTTATTACCCAGGTATTTAATGACTTATTCCAGTAACAAAGGTAATCCCAAGGAATGTGTGATATTAAACTGCAGAATCCTGTAGTCACATAATTCAACATATGCCAACTAACCAGCGTTGCCAGATGCTGTACAGAAACATCAGTCTGGTTATATAATTATCTGCCCTTTTAAATTAAGAGCATACCTTTTATCCGACACAAGTTCCCTCTAACACTAAATAATAATCACATTCTGTATTGAAACATTCAGTCCTTGGCCATTTCATAATACATTATGTGAGTGAATAAATAACCGTTATATAAACTATATGCATTGCTTACATATCATCGTCTTTGATGCTCTTCTCCAGGTCAAACTTGTACTGGAATCCTGAACAACCGCCTCCTTCAACCATAACCCGTAAAAAGTTACCGTCAGTTGCAATTTCTTTCAAACGTTTTACGCAGCTGTCACTGATATGGAGTGCATCAGATGCAGCTCTATCTTTGGTATTTGGGGCTGTTGACATCAGCTGAGAATATGGAGTGGCACAGAGTCTGAAAACATTTTACATAATTTAGGGTAATGTGACGAGGCACAACATATTTAGGTAAAAACCTGCCATATCTTATAACCCAATTCTGTAATATAGTCTTGGCTAATTAACAAACTAATACTATGGAAGCAGAACTTGAAGATTCAGCACTACTAATATCAAAAAAAACCACAACTGGACATAAGACATCCAGTTCCATCAACTTCTCACAAATCTTAATGTTATCCTCCTAGATCATTCCAAATAAAATATAGCAGTTGACATAACCTCTTTGGAATTCCATGAAATTTTGTGAGCCTACAGAGTCTGATAAGTATACATTATTCCCTTCTTATGTTAATTTAAAAATTATTTCAGTTTGAAGTTTTCCTTAAATTTTCTATAATTCTGATTCACTCCAATGCTTATAATCAGGAATCAGTCCCAGTCATTTTATTAACACAACTTCCCCAGCTCATACTTCTTCAATCTAGTGGCCTCAATGTTTCCCACATGTACTATATGAAGATAAATAAGTTATTCAGATAATTCTTCAGGCTCTTAACTGCATTTATACTAACTGCATAGATGTATTACTTCCATTCAATCATGTCATGGAATCATTTTCTGGGGAAATTCAACGGACACCAAAAAAGTATTTTACGTTCAAAAGAGGATCATTAGAATAATGGCAGGCACTAAGAGGAGAGCCTCTTGTAGGGAATTATTTAAGAAGTTTAATATTATTCCATCACCCACTGAATTCTTGCTCTCAATATTATCATTTGTAATGGATAACATGGAAAAATTTCAAACAAATTCAGACATCCACAATATAAGAACAAGATACAGATACAACCTTTGTGTGCCAAATTCTAACCTCAGTAAATATCGAAAAGGAGTTTACTATACTGGAAGTTATTCAATAATCTTCCACCTGCTATCAAAAGTTAAACCAGAATATAAAAATGTTTATGCCAGGGTTAAAAGAGTATCTCCTATCTCACTCCTACTCAGTAGAAGAATTTATAAACACTTGTAACAATAATGTAAGATTTGAGGTTAATGATGATGGTTTCTCATCATAATAATTTTGCTGTAATACTGCAGTTCCAAAAATCTATAAATAGCTGTTATAATTATGTATTTATATAGAAACAAGTATTGTATTTGTGTTATGATCTGTTCTACATCCTTGGCTTAGGCCTATAAAGGATCTATGGAATGTAAATAAATTCTACTCTATTCTTATATGCCTGATAACAAAGGGGCTGGGTCCAGCTTGTGGGAGTTCCTTCAAATTAAAAACATCCAGAAGAAGCCAGATATGGATAATTTGCTTGTAATATTTAAGAACTTCTTTTTCCATGAGGGATTGCAAAGCTTATTGCTGTTCGTGAAAAAGGTTTCTGCCCTTATCTTAAAGTTACCCAGATGAGATGCTTTTTCAGTATCTTTTGAAAGCCCTTGGTGGAAATGAGCAACCACACAAGAAAATATGTGCATTGGAGTGAGAAAAGACATGAAAATTGGAATAAGGAAGCTTCTAGAAATATATCACAAATTAAATCCCGAACTGCCTATTAGTTATTCACTTCATGCTGTCATTCTTACTGAACAATCTTGGGTCCAAATTTTTTGTTCACCACCCTGTTTAATCTCATTTTAATTACTCTATATCTCAATCTGTCTTGAATGGGACGTTTCCTAACCAAAAGTGGTTTACTTGGTTCTCTCTGAGCCGCATGCGCAAGTCTACACAATTAGCATCTTTGTTTTCGTTACTTTAACAATACTGGCCAAAATACAAAAAACAGTTCATCATACCATTTTACAATCAGTAAATTATCACGATTATGTTCCGATACTGAATCACCAATTTTAGTTTGTGTATGACTTTGATTGCATAGCTAGATTCCAACTCCAAGGAGTTTCTAAAAATAACTGAATAATCTGAGGTATTATTTTTTTCGAAGACGGTCAAAATTTTGTAATTTCTGAAATTAAAATCGATCCAAAAGAAGCTAGTTTATGAAGGTATTCATAGATGTCGCGAATGCCGCATATTCTATAAGTTCCTACATGTCTCCAAGAATCACTGTAAACTAATAGCCTTGTATCGCAAATGAATACGTGGCACGTCTATGAATAGTACAACTGCAACAGAGACAATAATTATAAAACGTTCAGGCATGTGACTTACTTCAACAAGCACAAGTAATTTGTTTTAAATCCAAAATCTGTAGTTAAATTACGCACCACCAGTCTGCCAATTGTCGCCATGTTGGTTGTGACGTAACGAAAGGCATTGTGGGATAGCTAATTAGAGTGCAGTGAATTTTTATCAAAATCGACCTTCATGGCTGTCAAGAAAGCCTTGTTTTTGAAAGAAATTTCAACAGCTTCCCTATGCGGTTGACATATAATTTAGTTACGTGAGTGGGCTGCCGGATCTGCTGAAGAGTTTTGTTCGAGTTGTGGGTCAGACGACGCCAATGTTCACTGGAACCGTAAGGGTGAAAATATGCGAGGCTTGCGGGTTGAGACCTACGGATTTTCAAACGCGGCATAGTATGGCGTTTGGGAAACCTGATGACCAGCCTATAGATCCTTATGTGTCGATAGACGTGGATGAAAATCATTTATATCGTTCGTCAACAAAGGCCAAGACTTGCGATCCAGTATGGAACGAGTACTTCGTCCACGACGTCCAAAGCGCCGTCAACCTGGGGTTGACTGTTTTCCACGATGCCGCCATCCCGCCTGATGATTTTGTGGCCAACTGCAATATTCCGTTTGAAGATCTCGTTCACAGAGATCGGGATTCTGCTGACTTTTGGGTATGATTCTTTATTTGCCGTTGTTTTACAAGAGGCTTGATATGTACTTCTTTGCATGCTATACACATAGGTCTCTTAGGGTTCCCAGTTTTCACATCCCAAAACCTAGAAAGTATTTTATTTTCTGTTGGCACGCAAGTGACATGATTTTAGACCCTAACATGCATTTTAATTACCCATAGTTAACCAGGTAGAAGTAAGGTACTTGTTATGTACCCCAATGAAGGTATAGTTAATATTGTTGGCATATGACAGAAAGACTGTTGCACACACAAATATGCACAAGTACATTTTTTGTATTTGAATTATGCACATTCATTGTTAAAAGTATGAAACCACCTGTCACAGTACAAAATTGTATGTCAGGTTTGTGACCTTTACTTTCCTGTTGACATTCCATTTCATTTTTATACTGGAATTTACTTCAGTGATGACAGTCTAAATAAAGATGTCGTTATTGTCACTGATACTCCACATAGTCACAGGACATCAATTGTGTGATGTCAACATAAACATCAGAAACCAATATTTTCTGAAATAACCTTCCATAACTTTGATGAAAAATTGCATCAGATAAAGTAAAATAAACCAAACTATATCCAAACTTTATCTTACTCAAACTTTGACATTTCCAACTCAAGCTGTCACTAATGTCGTGCTGACCTATGAGTTTCACACCTTCCTTACAAAATGGGCTCTTGTACCATATCACTAGTTAGCTGCAGACAGCTTATTACATAAATTTTGCCAACATTTAACAACATGGAAGAATGGAGTAAAAATAGATTAATCATTGACTTTAAGCATAATTTCCACCTTCTGTCTAACATTAAGGACCAACGTTGGACCTGATTCTAAGTTTGAATAAAGTTGATAAAGGGTATAAAATGTATAATGAAATCTTCTCAGGCTACCAGCCATGTCAGGTAGTTTAATGAATAAAACACCCAATATTTTGAGAACCATCTTCGTCCTCGGTCTTGGGTGAGGGTGTGACCCTGAGGACGAGGACAGTTTTTAAACATAAGTATTTTCTTCATTAAAGGGCCTTACACGGCCGGTAGCACAAGAAGAATTCATTATACTTAGTCACCGTGGAAGCTTCAGATCAGGTATAAAATGAGTATACCTGTTAAGCATTTAATTTTCAAATGTATTTTTGAATTGACACATATTTTAGACATCTGTATTTCAGTAGCGTAGGTAATTGGATTAAAGTTATACATGCACCATTTGACATAACTATACTACTTATAATCTGCTTTGATTTGTTTATTTTTCACGTAAGTGTTGTGACTTTAAAGCTTTGGTTTTATTTGCTTGTGAGAAGCTACTGAAGTATCTTTTGTGTTTTGTTTAGTGGTATGGTTCATTTAACGTTGTTGTGAAATTGTAGTGTACGACTAGTACTTGAAATCTGCAAGCCATTGGATTGGTTGGAATTACAAAATTAACAGCAACTTATATATAGATTTAAGACAGGATTTAGTACATACTTACAAAGTCTGTTGCCCTTTTAACATAGCCTCTTTGTGTATTGTTGTAGCTGTGTGTAAATACTCTACAAAAAAGTTGACAGTGGAACCACGGTTCCGGAGAATCTGACGTAAATACATCTCTGTAATGTAATATAATGTATTGTACTGTAGTGTAATAATTCTTATATAAGATAAGAACTTGTGGTATTCTAAAACGTTTTTACCAGCACAAAATTATCTAGTCTACAACGCACTTCTTCTACAAGCGATTCACATCTCAGCTTTTTCCGCAATAACGAAAGCGGATTGTTGAAGGCCGGGTAAACAGATGACGTAACAATTAGTTTCTTAGGTATCATAACCATTTTTGTCGGTCCATATTTACACATTGTTGATATGGATCTTACACATCTTCGTTACGCTTTTTTGCCAAATGACCCTTCCGTATAGACGTATTTACGTCAAAAAGTTTTCAGTTGCTGTAATGGCCACTTCCATGTTGTCTGTTGCCGTGAAATTAGTGACCTTGCAGGGCATTTTAAGATGGCCCAGAAAGATAACACAATGGAGCCACATTCTCCAACTCTGGATTCAGAAGTGCTTCAGTAATTACAGTGGCAATGTGAGATGAATATTGTTGTGGAGTAAATTCTTACCTTCTTGTCTAGTCATCCAGACTGTAGTCAGTGACTATACCGACTGAACTGCCCAGGCTCTCACATACTAAACGTGACGTTCTCTAAAATTGAAAGTGTTAAGTGTGTTGGTTGCCTTGTTAATACATAATTTTACTGTTGTATGCAGGAAATCTCAGGTTTGGGTTCTTAAAGCCAGCTGTCCTGACTTGATTTTTTCATGGTTTCTGTTTTAAAACGCAAATTAAGGGATAATATCTTAAATTGAGCTTTGATCAGTATCACATGCATCACAATTCATCATTTACAATTGTCCTCTCATTCATTGTTGTAAAACCTATACAGTTGAGAAAGCCTTATTAAATGTAGAAAGTTTTGTTTCTGTTTAAAACATACTTAATGCGATTGCACGCATATTAACCATTTGAAATCGTTTGCCGACAGACTGTATGCACTGAACAGACAAACAACAGTTATGCGGTTAATAAAATAGAAAGATGATGGAAATATGTTTTAGATAATGACTGTAAAATCTGTCACAAAAGATATGAAATTCTTATTTTGTTACTTGGTGGGAATATCCTTTTTATATTCTTGAATGTCAGTGATACATGTATGAACTCATTTTAATTCTTCTGAGTCTCTGGTCACTTTTTATTACTTTTTATCAAGTGTTTTTGGTACTTTAGTAAATGAAAATGCTCTCCTCCTATAGTTTATTACTTTTTATCAAGTACTTTAGTAAATGAAAATGCTCTCCTCTTCATGTATTAGAACCTCTGGTCCATGTGTAGGTCACATGCATAGAATGCCAATTGCCCTGTTGGTAATCAAAGGTTTATAATTTGTTTGTAGAATAAGCAAATTTGTCTTTTATATGTAGGAACTTGGTTGACAGAGTGATTAGGAAATGTTTACCACTGTTGTGTCAGATCAGTGTTCCAGTCACAGGTTTTGCCAGTTTGATGTGTTGTCAGATTTCACCTCGTGCTTTACCATGCAATGCGTATTGACCTTACGTAACAGCGAGGTACGGAAAATCCAAATAACTGTTGATATCTTTAAGGGAAGTGGCTGGTATCCTGTCTTAATCATCATACGAAAGGATGTTTGGAAAGGATAGAAATGTATTTAAGACTACTTGCACTTTGCAGTTTTAGTGAGTACAATGCAGATCAATTTGTGCAATGCCTGTAAAATTTATGAGCAGATGGAACCTCCCCAAACTGTGTGCATTATGGTTTATCTAACGGGCTATGACAGAGAAGAAACACATGGTACATTGCTTCATTTGGTTGATGAAGCTTGAATTGGGAAGTTGAAAAAATTAATTTTAACTATGAATTTTGTCATATTAATCTACACTTTGCTTCGTGTGAGAAGTGCTGGATGTACTTTGGCTCTTCAACAGTTGCATCCACACCTAAAGGTAGATTTTGCTTTTCTATTTGAACTGTGGGGAAAATGATAATAATATGCGTACCAGTAGCTGTGGAATGGGTTGATAATGTTAGGCCAACTGAGCCATTTTCATTGAACATTATTTTTTGAGGTTAAGATTGCCAAAAGTTGTCAGTCATCAGAATTGGTACAAACTGGAGTTAATACATTATGTTCTGGGATTATTTTATTTATATTTCTATTTTGTACGAGGAATAATTACCAGAGCAGCAGAAGGAATCTATTACTGTATCGATTCAAAAAAAGGGAGATTAAAAGTGGCTGTAGCAATTATGCAATATCACTGTTAGCAACTGCGTACACAATTTTATCCAGCATTCCTCTGTCCCCCATATACAGATGAAATTATTCAGGATCATCTGTGTGAGTTTCAGTATACTTGATTGACTACTGATCAGATATTGTGCATCTGTCTGGTACAGTACATCAACTATTTTTGGCTTCAAGCAAACTTATGATTCAGTTAGTAGGTAGTATTATTCAACATTCATTGAATTCAGAAAACTCATACAACTGGTTGGTCTAATTAAAACATGTTTAAATTAAACACATAGTGAAGTCCGTGCAGGTAAACTTTTGTAAGACTTGAGGTTCTCACAGCGGTGAGTATGAAGATATCCGTCTTCTGGGTTATTGCGCTGTGTAGTCTGGTCGATGTTAACCAACGTTTCAGAGGTCATACTGCCTCCGTCATCAGGGCGATGAATACAACTTTAACTCAGATTTTTAAATGTACCAGACAAAAGTTTACCTGAAGATATCCGTCTTCTGGGTTATTGCGCTGTGTAGTCTGGTCGATGTTAACCAACGTTTCAGAGGTCATACTGCCTCCGTCATCATGACGGAGGCAGTATGACCTCTGAAACGTTGGTTAACATCGACCAGACTACACAGCGCAAT